GTTCGCTCTGGGTTGGAAGACTCGGCATGCTTGTGAGGCTGTGCAACGTGACGTTCCCCAGCAGTGCCTCTTCACACGTGAATTCCTTGGTCAGAGCAGGAGGTCGGGCCCACGTTCCTGTGTGCAGAATGTTTTTTACCTGTATGTTCTGCGTGCAGGTTCCCCTCACTTTTGGGGCACTTCCCTCAGCCCTTATACATCACGTTAAATTCCTGCAGATGCAAAATCCCAAGTGAGGCAAGAATCAAGTGGAAGAGAGTTATTTTGTGACTTAGGGCTTTAGAAATGCGCTCCTGTTGCCGTTCCCTTTTTTTCTAAGTATGGCTTACCATATGCTGAAGCAGTTATGATCCATTTCACATGTCTCTGTGTGTCACAAAGATTTAACAGACTGTCTGCAGCCAGAGCCTTCTCTTGCCCATCCCTGGCAGTCGGTGATGCTGGTGGCTCCAGCATGTGGGACATTGGGGAACCTGCTGCTGGGATGTGCAGTTTTGGTTGGAAGACACCTTCAAGATCATCGAGGCCAACCTTTGTCCTAACCCCATCACTTGTCCTACCATTTGCCCATCCCAATGTCTTTCCAAGAGCACATTCATTCTCCACACCAAACTTTACCGCGGGAAGCCGGCAGGATTCGCTCACCAAAAAGTGCCAGTTTTGTAAATGCTGCTGTAAAGTGCTGCAGGCTATCTGACGTAGGGCACACCTTAATAAGAAGACTTAATAACATTATCCTGTAGGGCTAAGTAAGGTTCATGTTTGTCCGATTCACTCTTTGTCCATGTCACCAAAGGCATCGAGAGCTCTTCCCCTGTCGGCAGCTCATGCAACCAGAGCCAAGCCGTGAAGCTGAGGTTTTATTGCTTTGACCAGGCCTCGCAAAGCCCTGAACAAGATCCCAATACCTGGCCCTGACACCAAGAAGCCCCCTGCCCTCGGCAGCAATCCCTGCTGAGCCCATCCAGGCCAGCAGCAGTGACCCGTGAGGCTGCACCGAGCAACCTCCCGCCAGCAAACTGCTCTGACAAAAGAGAAAACGGCTGTGTAAGGACACAAAATCCAAGAACTGATCGGGAAGTTTTAAGCTTCTAGGGCTCTTGCACTTCCATAATGCTTGAGAGGATTTTTTAAAGCAATGCTAGAGGAGAGCTGGATCTGCGGGGCTCTGGAGCTCATGGTTCTCAGTAGAAATCTCTGGATACGCCACATCCTGAACATTTACTGGAATATGATCGGGACCTGCCAGGCTCCTACTTGGTTAGAAAGGAGTGAGAGTAGCCAAGTCTGCCTTATAAAGTGCTAGGAAAAGCACTTTTATTTTCTTTAAACCACAAGCACACATGTGGCTTTCCCCCCTAAACTTAACTTTTCTTCTTCCACTGTTGTTTTAACAAAAGACACTTTAGAGCAGCGTTTTAATGACAAACACTGTCCACCACTCACGCGGCAGCGCTCACCAAGGCTGCATGGACCCGCCACAGGGCAGGCAGCCTCCAGCCTGGAACAACCCAGGACCTAACACTCCTCAAACCCCTGCCCGGAGCAGATGAGGATGCTGACCCAAAGGATCTGCAGAAGGTGGGACTGGGCTCGTGGGACTCCCAACCTGGAGAGGTTGTATGAACCAGAGAGCATTCTGCAGCGTTGTGCCAGAGCTAAGGCTCTGCTGGCACCAGGCAGGGGGTCACAAAGACACCCGTGTGCCTTGGGGTTCGTGAAGCCGGCTGCAATGCAGCGTTTACTGGGACGTGGGGTGCTACTGAGGACACGAGCTCCAGCCTCAAGCCCACCATCTCACAGCACAGATGCTGCCAACCAGCCCAGCCTTTTCCCTCTGGCAAAGCAAGCCCCTCACCTTGGAGTGAGCGTGTCCCCTCCGGCCGCCCATCGTACCTGGTACGCCCACCCCTCACCCACTGGCTGCTGGCCTGGGGCCACCTGTTTGGAAACCTCTGCCAGAAAGGATCGTCCCATAAATGATCTTGTAAACTTGGATATCTGAACGTACAAATATTTACAGAGGAAACTCCTGGAAGGGCTGTGTGCCAGCGGAGCAGCCCTGCCCATAAGGTACCTGCCTCTGAGCACCAACGGCTGCCCCTGTGCCTGGCAGATGCCGGAGCTGCTCAGCACCGTTCCCTGGCACAGGATGGGAGCAGCCCCAGACGGTGACCTGCACTGTAGGATTAAGCACTGGCCAGCACAGAGCAAGCCAGATTCCTATGAGAAACCTGGGAGTGA